AATTGCGCAACTTTAGCTTGAGAAGTCGCACTGTGAACCTGTCAAAATAAAACCTTATCATGGTAACTTTACTGAAGTGTGGTATTGTTCGCGACACAAACTCTCCTTATCCATCACCAGTTTTACTAATTCTCAAATCGTCGGGCGAGAAAAGGCTAGCGATAGACTTTACAAAATTGAACTCTCAAACTGTAGTGAAAAATTTTCCAATTCCTCATATTGACGATTGTTTTAAATTTCTTACTGGAAGTAAATTGTTTTGTACATTAGATCTTATGTCAGGCTATTTGCAAATGCCTCTTAATGAACAATCAAAACATAAAACTGCATTTATTTATCCAGATGACACTGCAGAATTTGAAAGAATGTGTTTTGGTTTGGTTAACGCACCATTTGAGACTCATGACTTTGACGTTAGGTAAGAAACACAATCACATTGCCTAAATGTTAATTTGGAAAGAAATCTGTAAAATTTTTGGATTTTCAACCAACAGAAAATGGTTTATTACCTGGTGCTTAGAAACTTGAAGCTCTAAAAAAATGTTCAGTCCCCAGAAATGAACATGAAGTTATACGATTTTTAGGTCTAACAGAATTTTTTCATAGGTTCATCAAAAATTATGCAATAATAACTAGAACTTTGACTGATTTGATCAAAAGTTGTAACACTTTTTTGTGGAAAATTAAACAACAAACTGCTTTTGATATTTGAAAGATTTATTGTAGAAAACTCCTATTTTACAATTATACAATTCAAAGGCTGAAAGTGAGTTGCACTGTGACACATCAAGTTATGGTGTTGGAGGCATATTGTTACAAAAAGGCCCGGAGGATAAAATGCATCTTGTACATTGTGTATCTAAGAAGACCAGCGATGCTGAAAGAACATACTATTCATCAAAACTTGAATTGCAGACCACTGTTTGGTGTGTGTGTGTGTGTGTGGAACTACTGAACGACTGAGACCATTACTTTTGGGTATCCAGTTCACCACTGTAAGTGACTGCCAGGCTCTAGTTCATTTGAACTCGAAGAAAACATTGTTAACACAGATTGCTAGGTAGTATTCGACTTTATCTGAGTATTCATTTGTGAATTAAACATAGAAGTGGAGACAAAATGTCTCACATAGATAGTTAGAGTCGTACTTCAGTAGAAAATGCATCAGATGATGGAATGATTGAGGGAGTTTATGCAAAGAAAATTAATTTGTTCATAATATTTCCTGAAGAAGAATTTTGATGACCAAATTGTTGAAATCTTGAGCAAAGATGAACAAGAAAGAACTGCAGGAGAAAATAATTTAAATAAGAGATATGGAATAGACACAGGAAGACTGTTTTAGAGAGTAAAAATAAACAAAGAAATGAAGCATTTACATGTTATCCCCGATTCAATGAGAAAGACAACAGTTGTAAAATAAAATGATCAAATGGGACACTGGTCATTGGATCATACTGTATCAGCAATATTATAAAAATTTAGGTTCAGGGGTGTGAGGAGATATGTGAAAAAGCACATACAAGGCTGGTTCGAATATTTTTTAACAAAGGTAGGTAGAAGCCAGGAATATCACACCCATCACCTTGGACCTTTTCCGGGAAGTACCACAAGAAAAATGTATATATTAATCATGGTGGATGCTTTTTCAAGATTCGTGAATTTTTATGCACAGAGAAATACACAGTCAGAGGAAACAAATACAAAAATTAAACTTTTCATCAACGATTACGGTGCACCCAGAGTCAATGTTAGCGACGGAGGAAGTGCCTTCACGAGCAACAAGTTCACCGAGTTTTGTATGATATCAAACAAAAGCTCATTTTTGCACAATTTTCAGAAGCAAATGGTATGGCAGAGAGTAAAAATAAGTCAATTGTATCCTGTATTATAACTTCAATTGATTTTGAAGACGAGATGGGACAAAACATTGAATGCAGTGGAAAATGAAATGAATAATGCTGCAAATAAAATAACAGACTTTACCTCTTGCGAATGTCTGTACGGAATTGAACCCAGATTTGAAGAAGTTGCTATGGTTAATTTGGTCGAAGAGGAAGGTAAACAGAAGGATCATGAAGGAGTAAGAAGAAAACTTATATAAGATATACTTTGATAAAAAGCAGTTTAATGGAGATAAGTTTCAACTGGGAGATATAGTAGCCATTAGAAAACCACACATATTCACTGGTCAACCAACAAAAACTCAAATGAAATATCTTGGACCATTTGTGGTAATAGAAATTTCACAAGGTGATACATACAAGTTGGAGAACTACAATAAAAAGACAGTTGTTTGAGTTTAACTACAGTAGCACATATATCATAAATGAAAATATATCATAATCATGAAGAAGATAATGATTCAGGAGAAGCAGGTGAAAAAAATAATTTGTTATTGAGAAAGTTGGAAGAGATAGAAAAAACAAAATTTACTTATCAAGTGAATATAGATATAGTGATAAATACTGGATTCCTGAATGCCAAGAGTAGGAGAAAATGTTTCAATTAATGACAGACCTAAACAAAGAACAAGATAACCAAAGAAATTGGATGATTATGTTTGAGAACAAATATACATTCAAAATGGGCGAATGTTGTAGCTTATTTATTTTGACTAACCATATAGATGTTTGGAAGAGCAATGTCACGCTTTGAGAGTAATGTCATATACTAAAAGTTAAATTAAACTTCATCAAAAATGCTACATACCCAGAACAAGAAACCGTGAATCCTGACCGATATTTCCAACAGATATAAAACTTTGAGAAGCAGCGCTGGATTTTCAACATTGAAAACAAAATGTTATGAATTTTCACTTTCCTTGAACTTGCAGGAAGTGCAGGTATAGAAAACAGTTTGCCCTTCATCTGCAGATCTCAACTGCAATGTAGCATAAGACATTCTATTATTTCCACACTTAGGACATATTCTCTCAACTATAGGTCCATCATCATCTTCTTCATCATGTTTGTTTTCTTCTTTAATGTTCCTCTTTTTTGCCTCTTGCGAGTTGAAATTAATACAAGTTTCCACTTTGGATGTTCGAAATGCTGTAAAAAGTCAATAGAATTGATCATAAATTAGTTTTCTGTGTTCATTATTGAAAAGAAATGTATACCTTCTTCCTCTGAGAATACTCTTGCACACACGTAACACGTTACGCCACCCTTTTCACGCAATCGTGGTAGTATCGACCCACAGTCATCACAAAATCCAGGTGTTTTGACGAAAAAGCTAGACATATCTGTGATTATACACGTGTTATTTTTCAAGTATTGACTATATATTGAAAGTTTTACAACGCAATTATGTTATAAAAAAAAAATTGTAAACTACCAAAATAACATGATCTACTTTTTGAACTTAACAAATATAAGGTTACCTTTTCTTCTACTTCTCTCTTCCTACACTTTACGCACGGAGAAAAGAATTCTGTGTTCTTTGCTTCACGATTAGGCGGGTTCTTAAATTCAACACTCATGGCAAGGCCGTCAGAGGGCGCTAGAAGTGCTTGAAAGATGGATGTTTGATTTTGGCTTGTTGAAGGGATTTCAAGTTCATTTTGCAAGGTTTTGACATACAAATAAAGTGTTGATAACATACCCCCTAATTGCTCAGGGCGTCTTCGATCCGTGAGTAGTTTTGATCACAAATTTTCAAATGATAAACATATCCTTGCCAAAAGGCTTATCGAGTGCAAAAAACATTCAACTTCGAATTATCACGAGTTGGCAATCAAATCTATCTGAGAAGAAAAAACATTAAATAAAATTATTCATGTGAGGGAATATAGAACACATGATGTGTAATATATGTAAATATATATTGTGGTTCGGGAATAGATAGATTTCTTTTAGACCATCCAAAATAGAGAGAGAGAGAGAGAGAGAGAGAGATAGATTTCTTTTGATTCAGAAACTAAACGACGGTCCTGTGATTCATAATATGTAACATTTCAGCCAGACCGCGATAGTGTTAATGAAAAAATTCATGTACTTGTTTATTGGCCAGACGCACCGTCATGTGAAATACTTACTTATCGGAATTCAACTAAACGGAAAGACTAATATTTCAGTTTCCGAACTTTGAATTCTTTAGATTGCGAGTTAAGCGAAATAGGTTGGTGACCTCAGTCGCGCGTGGGCGACGGTTGCTAAGACATGATAATTAGCAACCATCTTACTAAGGCGGAGCCCTAGACTCATTAATTAAAGAATTTGGCAAATCGCGAATAATCGATGAAAGGTTCGAGAAACGGAAGGGAACGAGGACCTGTGATTTCTTCCTGGCTTTCGAGAGTCAGTGGTGCGGGAAATTTTCTGCCTGGACTTTGAAAACAGGCGGTTGGCTGGTATCTCAATTGCCACAAAAGAAATAACCGGGAAAGGAGTTTCTGGTAAAAAAAATAACAATCTGCACTGATAGCAGACAAGCCCTATTAGCCTAAAACAGACAGCGTGTTACCTCAGGGCTAGTACTAGAGTGCCACCAAGATTTAGCCAAAGCCTCGATAGATAATAATATTATCCTGAGGTGGATTAAAGGGCACGACAGGAGTAAAGGTAATCGCGTTGCCGACTCTTTTGCCAAGGAAGCGGCTGGACTAAGAATTTTACAACCCAGTGGCACCTACGGCCTGATGACTTCGACAATTGCGGAACTAGCCAAACGTTACACCTATGCTCAATCCCTAAAGAGATGGGATGAAATCAAAGGATGCAATCTTGCTAGGATCACCCTGGACGACCCTGGGAAGCTGGCACCGAAGAAATATCTAGCGATGACCAGGAAAAAATCTACCCTTAACAGTAGGATTTCTGACTGGCCACTGTCAACTAAGAAAACACATCCATAATATGGGGCTAGTGGACACACCTCTATGCAAGATGTGTGAATAGAAAGATGAAACTGTCAGGCATATCCTATGCGAGTGTCCAGAGTTATTGTCAATAAGAGAGTGTGTATTCGGCGAGTCTTGGCCTACACCTGCCGATATAAAGGAGATGTCTACTAGTTACCTGTCCACCTTCCTGGAAAGGACAGGATGGACGATGACCTAAGAGGACAACTCCTTGGGAGGATGTGGCCTTAGTGCAGTGGGCCTACACTCACCCTCCCTACTCACAGATACAGATACTATTGGAATTATGAAATCCGTTAGACTTTTTATCAAGTCCTTGGCAAAACGAACCAAGTGCTTGAAAGAAAATATTAAAAAAAAATTCCCCGAAACACAATGGAAAAACCTTACAGCAATTTCATTTTTTATGTCACTATTACTAAATATAACAGTTATCAACTTGTTAGGCAAGTTGAATAAAAAAACATAGAATACGGCACGACTAAAAGAATGAGATGATGACGACGATGACTAGGAGGGCCTAACGTTTTAACGTGCGATCCAAAATGCCAGAAGGACGCTGAGCTGCATCTTCGTTAACCGTTCCACTCCCGCATCTTCGTTAACCGACTACTCCCGGTCGCCGTCTTTGATGTATCAGGTCGATATTTTCTTTTTTTGCTGGCGTGTGGCGGGGCAGGAGGGTGTCGGCAAAGAGCTGTTGTGCACCTCTGCCCGAGGTTCGATCAAAAAATATGTGACATTGATCTGACTTCATTCTTGCTACGAGGAGCTCACAATAAATATCTCATATGATTGTGAACTGTTNTCAATTTCATAAAAAAAAGTTTGCATACTAATGGCCCACTATATAAGGTCTATAACAATTTATTTTATGATTTTCGTCATATGTTCATTCCTTCAATCTTACATAATAAATACTAGAAAAACATACCTTTTTTCGTCAATTGAAAATCGAAAAAAATTAATGCCGACATCACCCTACAAATTACCTCAACCCACAGCTCGACATTAGTTCATTTTGAAACCAGACACGAATTTTTCACAAATACAAAACCACCATCACTTACAACGACTCATTCTGTAATGATATTCCATGCCTCAACTTGTCTCGCTTGGTAAACGCTTCAGCATAGGCTTCAGATTGTGCTGTGATCCTGTGACTCAGTCAGTTGCGCTGTAGGTCGACTGAGCATAAAATTCGAGTTGGGGAATCTTGACCAAAATATGGCGGAGAGTGAACTTATTTGTGTTCACTTCTATATGGTGTTACAACACAGGAAACCGTTTAAGATAGTCGGTTGATCGTAGGGGGCTTGTGATATTATTTCCATGTAAAACATAAGAACCCAGAATCAAAATTTCTTTAAAGGTAGGGAAAAACGAAATTTTATAAGACATTGGTGAAATCAACGGTAATGGTTTCGTGTTCTTTGAAATGTTTTATTTAGTTGCTTGAAATTTCAAGGAGAGGTCCAGGGTTCGGAATAGTCACGTTTATTGAGCCGAAACAACTGTGAGACATCGTAGTTCAAGCATATGCCCTTTATCTTGCAAACGATTTCAAAATCTTGTTTTCCAGTACTCCAAAGCCTGAAATTGTAATTTTTCTGAATTGGCTGATCAGATCCTCAAAAATTAAATGTTGGATAGATAATTGAAAAGCTCATCAAACAAATTATTTCAAAACCCCCTATAGCGCCTTTGATCAGTTAGCATCATCAGAAGATGTCTAAGATTAAAAAATCTCAGATGTGTGTAAATATAACAGAAAACATTTACAGGGTGTCTTGAAATACATTGTTTAGGAAAAATACGTGACAGTTCAACGATAGAGTGATCTAACGTTTCAACGTGCGATTTCAATCAGGAACGTATACCGGGTGTGTGGGTGTGATCCCAATTAGGAACGTATACACGATGCCTCAAAATACATCGTTCAAGAAAAACATTACGGTCGTCTTTGGACTGAGGAAAGTAACTTTATTATTTTTCAGAGATACAGAGACGTGTGTGGGTACTGTCACCTTACAATTTTACTAGAGAGCATGAAAATAAAAACATTTATATTCAACAAATTTAGAGAAGTCAACATTATTTCAGTAATGAGTGATTCAATATGAAATGTATTTCATTTGATAATATAATGCATATCAAAATTTACGCAAGAATATAATGCGTTGAAACGGTTATTTTGAACACTTCAAAAACCCATATGATTTGCCTTGTAACGATAATCGCTTAAAAAAATACATAAAAAATATAGCGCGATGAGACGTTCATTTTTGTACGTCTTTAAAAAATCAAAAATAATACTTGACAGAAAAGCAGTAAACCGTTATTGGAAGTCGATTAATCGTTGGGAAATTGTAACGTCATTCGACGTCAGCGAGTGATAGAAAGAAGTAAACATAGCGGCTTCGTTAATAATAGTTGACCTGTGAGAGATACTTCATTTAATAAGGAAGAAAACAAATTAAGATTTTGATGTTCCGAAAGAGCGCTTCAAATAATAATTTATTGGAATAGTCATACAGCGCGTACGGACGAGGGAATTTTGAAATCATTCACAGCAATATGATTTCATACAAAGTTTAGTAAATTTCTTGCGTTAACGCGTTGTGTGAAGATTTGTTCTCGTTTTGATTTTCAGTTTTTTTTATTCATATGAATGATTTGAAATCGGCTCCTTTTTTAAAGAAGTTGCTGATTGCATAATATTTTTTGTGTTGCTACATGAGCATTTAGTGATTACATTATGTACAATATTATTGTGGAATAAATAGTAATTTATTGATAAATGGATGTAATTTTCTTCAGTTCATTGAGCTGGTGCAAAAATCCTTCTGCAGGGCATGGAACACCGAATACATTTCAATCTAATTATCTACCTTCAACTATTTTTCGAATGAACTGAATATGTGTCGAATATTAATGGAGTTTTTTCCCAACACCAAATCGTTATTTTTACACCTCGACACGTGTTTCGATAACCAAGTGATCATCTTCAAGAGAGGAAGATAAAACTAATAACTACTCAAAACTAAAGCTACTTATACTAATCAGGTACATCATACAGGTAGGTAATCAGTAATACCACCCATAAAAGTGTACCACCCTAAATTAATTTTACAATTGGCCGGGACCGAAATTGACTCATTTTATATACTTGACCTCATTTTTGTGATTTCCGTAGAATGTTAGGGAAATTTTAATCATCATTATCATGTTGTTGATAGAAAAATATACTTAGATTTGGGAAATAATTAATATTTTACATAAAGATGTGTATGTGTCTGTAAGAGCGAGAGACGCGTGTGACGTAATCGAGGCAAAGAGAGATGGAGATGGTATCGATGTTTTACCTTTCTAGCGCAGCAGGTGTTGTCGGTTATTGAATAAATCGTTGTTTATGGCGCAATGTAGCGTTGCCGGTTTTGAAATTAATCGTGAACAACTCGATGAAAATTGGAAGCGCGAAAGTGATATATAATTAATAATAAATCAGATTCA